GGGGCAGAGACAATAGCAGGCCCTGCAGCCTGGGAGCAAAGGACTGAGCAGCTTCCTTCGTGTGCGCCAAGGACGTGCCTTGTCCATCATCTCCTGAGACGCCAGTTCCACCCCCCGTCTATGGAGGAGGCCGGGGCTCACAATCCTGTCACAAGCAATGGCTCACAGCGCTGCCTGCTGACTCTTAACAGCTTGGTGAACAGCATTTTGTATTTGTCCTTATTCATTAGTTTAGCCTTTAGTTTCATGGTTAGTTTATTTGACCTCCCGCGCTAATGTTTTTGTGACTTACATCCTTTATGATAATAAAAGTGAATCTCATTTTGTGTCAATATTTGGAGTAAATGTGCGAAAACTTTTGAGAGTCCGGCTTTATTTCGGACATTTTCACCGACGCTACTACATACTGACACTCCAGAGGTGCCAAAATACAAGTTCACCCCGGGAGCCATTTTCCTAAGCCCGGCCGTGGTGCTAACCTCCCCCAGCCAGCCTTGAAGCGTTGCCCAGCCCCTGTCACTGGGGCTACAGCAGCCATTTCAAGCAGGGATGTTAAATTTAGATGAACAAACTAATCGAATAGTCGATGGAATTTGCATCGACTATTCAATTAGTCGATACGGGCGCCTCCGCCTTTGAAATGTAGCAAGAGCCCTGTTGTCTCTTGCTACATTTCAGAGGTAGAAGCGCCGTGGGGAGCATGAGAGCAGTGGAGGAATCAAGCAATCCCCCATTGGCCCGTATTCCCCATGCACTTTGCTTTTGAAATGTACAAGAGCCCCCCCCTCCGCCCCTCTCGGGGCTCTTGTACATTTCAAAAGCAAAGTGCACATGAGACCAGTGGAGGAATCAAGGTGGGGGGGAAGTAACTAGTCGAGTCACTAGTTGACTATCCGAGAAGCAGAAGTCGACTAGTTGCTTACATCCCTAATTTAAAGTATCTCCAGCCGCAGGGCCCCTATATATAGGACAAAGCTTTGAATACCAGGCCTGTTCCTCTAAAATCGGGGCATCAGTCACCCAGTGATGCCTTTCCTGTCCTACTCTTTAACGGAGACCACAGCTGTATGTCAGTGGAATGTTTGTGTGGGGGAAAAGAAAAATATAGCCGCAAAAGAACTGAGTCATTTCCAGCTCCAGCCCTTTAAGCAAACTCTGCTGTGTCTGTGAACAGGGGGAATGTTTATTTCAAACGTTTTCATTGTTTCATGGTGCAGACATCGGGGGATTTATGCATTTTTGCACCCAACGGCAAAGTTCCCAGCATCTAAATGCAAACAGGTTGTCATCCAGTCAATGTTTAAAGTCATGACATTCAGCCTCTGGCTTGTAAGCGGCAACTGTCTCTTTAATGTGTCTCCTGAGGGTGTTTTTTCACATGACAGTAAAACACTGTGGGAATGTCTACACTGGGAACTTATGTGGATCTGCTACTGTGACTTAGAGCCCCAGGAAGCACTGGGGAGGAATTTGATTGACTCTGCGGGGTGGTTATTCTGAAATAGCAGCAGCAGAGCTATAACCATTTTGAAATAAGCATTATTCCTCTTGAAAAGCAGCAGTTACGATTTCAAAATAACGGGCGTGGAAGGGTGGACACTCCACCTGTTATTTTCAAATAAGGGGAGTTATTTTGAAATAACACCCTAGCATAGACCAAGGCTGTGTGATTTAATTATTAACCAATCTAAACTATTAACTAGTCAGGATGCTTTTACAGTGCTTTTAGCCAGTTGTAGCTGATAAAATAATACTTGGTCAGTCATTTGGCTGTAAAAATGTGATACCTCTATCTGTCTGTCTATCTAATATTCCCCTGTCATACTGTTTAACTATGAATATATAGTACTGTAGTAAAGGAAACAAGGAAGCAACTAAGCTTCCTAGTTAAGCAGCAGTTGGGCAGGAAAGGAGCTGGGGATTACAGTGGATGAGGAGCTGGATATGAGTCAACAGTGTGTCCTTGTAGCCAAGAAGGCTAACGGCATATTGGGGTGCATTAGGAGGAGCATTTCCAGCAGATCTAGAGTCGTGATTATTCCCCTTTATTGAGCACTGGTGAGGCCACATCTGGAGTATTGCGTTGAGTTCGAGCCTCCCTCTGTACATCTACAGATGTGGACGCATTGGAGAGGGTCCAGTGGAGGGCAACTAAAATGATGAAGGTGCTGGAGGAGATGACTTAGGAGGAGAGAGGAGAGGCTGAGGGATTTGGGCTTATTTAGTCTGCAGAAGAGAAGAGTGAGGGCGGATTTGATAGCAGCCTTCAACTCCCTGAAGGGAGGGGCTGTTCTCCGTGGCGGCAGATGGCAGAATGAGGAGCAATGGTCTCAAGTTACAGCGGGGGAGGTCTAGGTCGAATATTAGGAAAAACTATTTCACAAGGAGGGTGGTTGAAACACTGAAATGAGTTCCCTAGCAAGGGGGTGGAATATCCCTAGAAGTTTTTAAGTCCCGGCTTGACAAAGTCCTGGCTGGGATGATTTAGTTGGGGTTGGTCCTGCTTTGGGCAGGGGGCAGGACTTGATGACTCCTGAGGTCTCTTCCAGCCCTAGCATTCTATGTTTCTATGAATTCACATGTCTGTGGGTCTTTTGGGTAATTTGATCACTTATTTGGTTCTTAAACATCTAAGGATCTAAGGAGATCTAAGTGTCACTAGTTTAAAATGTGGTTTCTGATTTTGCACTGCTTTAGATCTTGCAACATCCTTTAGTAGAAACTTGATATTTTGTCAACATGTAATTTTGGCCACAAAAATGACTTTTTGATTAGGGCAAAAATTTTGCAGAGGAAAATCTTATTTTTGTCCTTTTCCCTTTTTTGATGCAAAGCTAACCCTAACCCTAACCCTCTCCAATGCGTCCACATCTGTAGATGTAGTGGGGTGCTCGAACTCAATACAATACTCCAGATGCGGCCTCACTAGTGCTAAATAAAGGGGAACAATCACGACTCTAGATCGGCTGGAAATGCTCCTCCTAATACACCCCAATATGCCGTTAGACTTCTTGGTTACAAGGACACACTGTTGACTCATATCCAGCTCCTCATCCACTGTAATCCCCAGCTCCTTTTCTGTCCAACTGCTGCTTAACTAGGAAGCTTAGCTGCTTGCTTGTTTCCTTTACTACAGTACTATATATTCATAGTTAAACAGTGTGACAGGAGAATATTTAATAGCTATCAGCCTAATAATTGTAGCTAACACACACTTTTTCAGGTGTTTGGTTTCAGTTTTTTATTTAAACATTGCAGAGGAAAATGTTGACAGCAATTTACAGGTAGAAATTTCTCTAAAAGAACAATCCATTTCCCTAGTACCAGGGATGTGTTAAGCTTTCCCATTTTGATATTCAAAGGATTGCAACAGAGCTCCCTCTAGTACTGCATAGTTACTAAGTGTTGGATGTTGGTCCTCTCTACCCCAGCCAGTTTGGGGTGGATGGAGTCATGTCAAGGTACATAGCCCCTCATTGCAAGTCCACTCCACCTGCTCACCATCTCCTGCAGAGAAGACTTAGGGAGGTGAATTTCACTCCTGTCTCCCTAAACTCTTTCTTGCGTTCTCTTTTTCCCTATCGTTGCAGATTACTCAAGAGAGAGAATTAAAGCACCTTTCATCTTGGGCAAAAAAGTACCCGTATGCCTTTCCGGTATGGATTGGGAGCTTCCTGTGTTCCTTAGTAATCCACCACCCTGATTACGCCAAAACTGTGTTTGGCCATGGAGGTAAAGTCATTGGCTCTTATTTGAGAGAGATTCCCACTCGATGCCCCCTCAAGTGTTGTTTCACAGAAAGCCGTTTGGACTCCTCTTCCTGCATGTGTCTTCTGTCAATTATTGCAGTTCTCTCCTTTACACTCTTCCCATGTGCCCACTCCTTCCCAGTTATGTCGGGACACTTTCAATATTCACCCGCAATGTGAAATTTAAACCCACCACCTTCCTCCTCAGAAATGTGTCTGGCTTAGGGCTTCCTAGGATCCAAGTTGTTCCAAGGATCAGCTGCATAGAAAGTCTACTAGTTGACATCCCACAGTTTTTAGTTGCGTTCTCTTTCTGGCGTAGGAAGCTCTAATTACAGGAAACCCCTGACATGCGACCCCCCCGAGTTCCGACCCACTACACTTACCACCATTTTTGTAAGTGTGGAAGGAGCTGAAACCCCCTGACTTATGTGCTCGGCCACCATTTACAACAGCACGTGGCATCTATGGTAAATGAGGGTTCAAGTTACGACGCCTCCGACTTGCGACATTTCCCCGGGAACCAATCACACTGCAAGTCAGGGGCCACCTGCATTATTGTTACAGCTCCTGCAGTACCTAAGGATTCTGACAGTCCCAGTCCGGAAGAGATTACTATCTCCAAGTATATTTCAACACGATTCTGTGTAGAATGGGAAAACTTTTTCAGAGAGGAAGTACTTGCTGCCCATCCTAAATGTGGTTCCAGTCTGGATGACCCTAATTTTTCGGGATTGATTCATCACTAATATAGCATGGACCTCACACATAAATTCCTTTGAAGATGAGGCATATTCCTCCATAATAAAATCTTTCAAAGCTTCCATGGTCGTCTTCCCATCCTCCTCCTCCCCAGTCTGGTGTGCATCTATGAGTAAAAAGGCTCTCTTTAAAATGTACTAATCGTGTGGTAAATGACAATTCAATATTTTGCTAATTCCTGTACCTCTAAGCTCCTAGTTACCTGAGCTCCTTCACCATTATTAGAAGAATTCATACCAGAAACACATCTACATTTTCATTTTCGCAGTGTGTCACCCCTAACACTATAATTATCTACTCTGTTGAATTTCACAGATCTCAAGGATATGACAGTGTACAGATTCTTAATTCCCTGGATCGGTATGTAGAATCATTCTTTGTCCATCCTCTTGACCAGTTTCATGAATGAATCGAGAGCATGTTAGGCGCTGGAGTATTAACCCAAGTATACAGCTCTAATCCTTGCTGTCTTGCTTCAACCATTCATGGTGGGCCGCACACTTCTCTTGTAATTAGATTTATTGTATTCCTTGCTATTATAAAACCAGAGAAGATGACCATTCTGTGATTGAAAGCTGTTAGGGATGACTGTGGTCTCTATTAGGCTAGACCATTTTTCCATTTAATCCAGAATTCTGCTGCCCAGTGCCTAATATCTGATATTTCAGATGACACTCAATACTGTCACCCATAACCAACGCATAATAAAGATTGCTCAGACCAAATGATACCCTCAGTTACTCATATTCAGGTTCATGGTCTTCAGACTATGTCCTCAGTGCCACCATGGCAACCTCTCTGCAGTCAAATGGGTTGGCAGGTGTCACTGCGGATGTCTGACAAGGAAAGAACCGAGCTTGACTCTCAGAAATGAGGTTGAATTTACAGGACCGCCATCTTCTTCTCTGCAAACTGAGCAAACCGGGCGTGGATTCAACCAAGCGCATGCACGCTGAGGTCAAATTGCCACTCACACTGAGTAGACCCACACTTTGTGCTTGAGGATAACCCTGAGTATGAATGTCTCCCACCTGCCAATGTCTGTTGCAACAGATCATTCCAAAGCCCAGGGAACTGACAAAAATAACCCCCCAAAATGAGAAAACTAAAATGTTTGGTTTCCAACCAAAATAAAAATGGTTACCATCAACCAGAGCCCATAAAGCTTTCATTGGACAACCAAAGGTTTCCACTTTGGAAAACGAAAGTATTTCCGGTTTCATTTGTTGGGTCTCCGATCCACAGACCAATAAGGTGACACATCACATCAGTGCCCTTCCACATTTCCTGCTTTGCTTTAGCATGTGCCAGCCAGTGGTGTAGCGAGGGGGGACAGGGAGGCAGTTGCCCCTGGGCACCACACTGGGTGCTAATTGAGTCCCCTCCACTCCCCCTGTCAACCCTTCAGCTTGCCTGCTCCTCCTCCACCCACCACTGCCAGCTGGAGCCCTCCCCTCCTCTCTGCCCCCAGCCTGACCCTCCTCCATCTCCGGGGAGCCGCTGCACAGTGTCTTTCCCTGGCCACCGGCGGGTTAGTGCATGTGGGGGCCCGGCCCCAAACTGGATGGGGTGGAGGAAGATGCGGTACAAGCTCCCCCCCCTTCCAAGGGTCAGAGTCAGCAAATGATTGGGGGGCACAAATTTTGCCTTAGCCCCCAGAGGCATAACACCCTCGCTACGCCACAGGTACCATCCCCTTTCCTCTCCAATGGTGTGTTCTTTCCAATCCTCTATCAAGTCCTCAAAACTCCCTGTCCTCCCTCATGGTACCATCCCTCCGGCGGTGACCCATGAGGACTTGCTTAGGCACAGAATTACGTATTCCTGTTTTCAAGTTTCCCTCCTTTCAATGAGCCAAGACTACGATGAACGCCACAAAAATCAGAGTAATTCATAGAACGGTGAATTGATTTGAGTGACTCTTTGGTTTTCTATCCCTGCAGGCAAGGGATTACTGATCTTACATGGGCCACAGTGGTTCCAGCATAGAAGGATGCTGACCCCAGGGTTTCACTATGACGTGTTGAAACCTTATGTCGCGTTGATGGCAGAAACTACCAAAGTGATGCTGGTAGGACTCATCCCCGTGACTGTGCTTTCAGCTGCAGGGCTGGGGAAATCACTGGGCCTGATGTTGAACAATTGGAAGACAGTAGAGTGAGATGCTCCATACACCTTGATTTGCACAATTGCTCTGCAACTCTTTTAGTAAAAGGGCCAGACCACTAGCTGGTAACTGAATAGAGCTGCACCAACAGACATCAGCTGAGAATGCGGTCCAGATATTTTTCTGTCACTAAGTTTCCAATAAAGTGAACCGTACCACAGTAACTTTTCTCAGCCTGACGAAGGTAGATGTGGGTGAATCTGGGGGTCATAGTGGATCACAAGCTAAATATGAGTCAACAGTGTGACACTATTGCGAAAAAAGCAAACATGATTCTGGGATGCATTAAGAGGAGTGTTGTGAACAAGACACGAGAAGTCATTCCTCCACTCTACTCTGCATTGATTAGGCCTCAGCTGGAGTATTGTGTCCAGTTCTGGGCACCACATTTCAGGAGAAATGTGGAGAAATTGGAGAAGGTCCTGAGAAGAGCAACAAGAATGATTAAAGTTCTAGAAAACATGACTTGTGAGGGAAGACTGAAAGAATTGTTTAGTTTGGAAAAGAAAAGACAGAGAGGGGACATGATAGCAGAAGCTTTCAAGTATCTAAAAGGCTGTTACAAGGAGGAGGGAGAAAAATTATTCTCCCTGGCCTCTGAGGGTAGGGCAAGAAGCAACGGGCTTAAATTGCAGGGAGGTCAGTCTAGGTTGGACATTAGGAAAAACTTCTTAACTGTCAGGGTGGTCAAACACTGGAATGAATTGCCGAGGGAAGTTGTGGAATCACCAACGTTGGAGATATTTAAGAGCAAGTTAGACAGACATCTGTCAGGGATGATCTAGGTGGTGCTTGGTTCTGCTGTGAGAGCAGGGGACTGGACTCGATGACCTCTCAAGGTCCCTTCCAGTTCTAGTGTTCTATGATTTTATGACTCTATAGAAGCTAAATGAGAATAGACTGACTGCGAAAGAAAAAAAAAAACAACTACGTGGGCTAGTGTGAAGTAGTGTATGGTAGAGGGAGAGAGTCAAAAACAAATACAGACCAAAAAGAGTAGAGGAGGACAATGAGGAAATTAATGAAATATATATGTAATTACACACTGTCTATAAGCTACCCACTTCTACTATACCAGCTTGTTGGAAGGGCCCTTTTATTGCACAATACTCTCGTTAGCTTGAAACTGTGAATTCACAAGGATTGAATGTTCCTAATAATTATTAAAGTCTCTGAGCCAAATTGTCTCTGGGGTAACTTCACTGAAAACATCTTGGCCCAAAATAGTTCCAGCTTTTCAATTACCATGTGAGCTGTGCTCTGAACACTGAAAAAATAATCATGAAATCTCTCGCCTTTTAATGAGACTTGCTAAACCTACCTTAGTTGGTTCCCAATGCTGGCAAATAACAGAGTTTGCTAGAGATAGTCACTCAGTTGCTGATCTCAAGCACTTTTTAGACACACCCTTTAATCCAACTGCATTGGAATCAGGTTCTGTCTTGCCAGGAAGATTTGGTTATCTGTTGAACTGGCAATGAAATTTTGCTCAGATGACATTGCTTTATGTGAAGAGGGCCGGCAGCCAAATCATGTCTATTATGAAAACAGCAAAAATGAACACAAGTCCTAATAGACCTTGATTTCCGGTTATATCTGCTGTGTATTAGATATGCCAGTGGTGGGAGACATTATAAGAATTACAACAGATTGACAATGTACCACGTGAAAACCTTTTCTGGAATCCTGTCCCTCCTCATCTCTGTCTTCTCCACCAGGACAAGTGGGAACGGCTGATCACAGTGGATAAGTCGGTGGAGCTCTTTGAACATGTCAGTTTGATGACCCTAGACAGCATCATGAAATGTGCCTTCAGTTGTCATAGCAACTGCCAGACTGACAGGTCAGTACCAGGTGCTTTCAAATACTAACAAAAATGTTCTTGACAACCATACCCATAATCGCCTCATTGAACCGTCCTTTTCCTTCAGTGACTCCGATGGCTACATCAAAGCTGTCTATGACCTGACCTACCTGGTGTACCATAGAATCCGCTTTTTTCCATATTATAATGATTTAATCTATCGAATCAGCCCTCAAGGACGTCGCTTTCGAGAGGCCTGCCAACTAGCGCACCTCCATACAGGTATTTCCTAGGGCCCTCCTCTGTGTCTCCTATTGACTGTAAGTTGTTGCTGTGACGTAGTGGGGGTAATTGCTGGGCTGTGGTGACCCCTGCTGTCTGGAGCAAGACCCAGCAGGGAAAACCTGGCGAAGAATGACGGCTGTAAAATTGAGGCAGAAGGCCGGTAGTCAGTAGGTCTTGAGCCAAATCCAACTATGATGGAACGTTATGAACTTCAGGGAATTTGTATGAAGGGTGGATTGGGCCCTGGTTTCTATCCTAACTCTGCTACCGATCTCCTGTGGGACTTCAGGCAGGTGGCTTTGTCTCTCTTCAGGTCAGTTTGATCAGCTGCAAAATAGAGATAATGATTCCTCTGTTTGTGACATTCTGTGAGATCCTCCAAGGGAAAGGTCTGTACTTTAGAAGTACAAAGTACAATGTCTTCCCAATACTTGGTTCTAGGAGACCTCATCTCCTGCTCTAAAGTATCATGTGTCCATTTTGGCATTTGCATTAAGCAGAAGATCCTTTGACCATCCCAGAAGGACATATCCCCGTGATGTCGAAGTGAAGCTAATACGTTTGCCATTCTCATATGCAGATAAAGTAATAAAAGAGAGAAAGACGTCCCTCCAAGATCAGCAAGAACTTGAAAAGAAGAAGAAGAAGTACTTGGATTTTCTGGACATTCTTCTGTGTGCCAAGGTGAGTGTTTTAAATCATGTAAACAGCCTTGCTACACCCACGTGTCTATACTTGACATCAGCAGACACCCGGCTATAGTTGACAACAGCTTCCCCATTGTATATATCCTCCCGTATAATTCTGTCAGCTTATGCAATGCTGTAAATGAAGGGAAGAAATGCCAAGGGACGGTGTGCAAAGGACAGTGCCCAATGAGTGAATAAGTGCAAGGAATAACAGTAATTTCTGAGAGTTGATTTTCACTCAGCAAGTTAACATGTACTAGAACAGAGGTACCACAGCATGTAAGTGTCAATGGGTATGTCTACACTACAAAGTTAGTTCGAACTAACGTTCATAGGCGCTACACTAGCGCTCAGTTAGTTCGAATTTAATTCGAACTAACGGAGTGCTTAGTTTGAACTAGGTAATCCTCATTCCACGAGGATTAAGCCTAGTTCGAATTTACTAGTTCGAATTAAGGGCTGTGTAGCCCCTTAATTCGAACTAGTGGGAGGCTAGCCCTCCCCAGCTTTCCCTGGTGGCCACTCTGGCCAACACCAGGGAAACTCTACTGCCCCCCTCCTGGCCCCGGACCCCTTAAAGGGGCACGGGCTGGCTGCGGTGCCCGTGCCAGGTGCAAGCCTGCCAGCACCCAGCCAGCAGACCCTGCACCTGGCACCGCTCCCGCCCGCCCACCAACATCTTGGCCCAAAATAGCTCCAGCTTTTCAATTACCATGTGAGCTGTGCTCTGAACACTGAAAAAATAATCATGAAATCTCTCGCCTTTTAATGAGTCTTGCTAAACCTACCTTAGTTGGTTCCCAGTGCTGGCAAATAACAGAGTTTGCTAGAGGCAGTCACTCAGTTGCTGATGTCAAGTACTTTTTAGAAACATCCTTTAACCCAGCTGGATTGTAATCAGGTTGTATCTTGCCAGGAAGATTTGGTTATCTGTTGAACTGGCAATGAAATTTTGCTCAGATTACATTGCTTTATGTGAAGAGCGCCAGCACCTGAATCACATCTATTATGAAACCAGTAAAAATGAACTCGAGTCCTAATTTACCTTGCTTTCCGGTTATATCTGCTGCGTATTAGATATGCCAGTGGTGGGAGACATTATAAGAATTACAACAGATTGACAATATACCACGTGAAAACCTTGTCTGGAATCCCGTCCCTCCTCATCTCTGTCTTCTCCACTAGGACAAGTGGGAACGGCTGATCACAGTCGGCAAGTCAGTGGAGCTCTTTGAACATGTCAGTTTGATGACCCTAGACAGCATCATGAAATGTGCCTTCAGTTGTCATAGCAACTGCCAGACTGACAGGTCAGTACCAGGTGCTTTCAAATACTAACAAAAATGTTCTTGACAACCAGACCCAGAATCGCCTCATTGAACCGTCCTTTTCCTTCAGTGACTCCGATGGCTACATCAAAGCTGTCTACGACCTGACCTACCTGGTGTACCATAGAATCCGCTTTTTTCCGTATCATAATGATTTAATCTATCGAATCAGCCCTCAAGGACGTCGCTTTCAAGAGGCCTGCCGACTAGCACACCTCCATACAGGTATTTCCTAGGGCCCTCCTCTGTGTCTCCTATTGACTGTAGGTTGTTGCCTAGTTTGGTGTAATTATTCTTCACTGATCTATCAGAAGAGAATCTGAGAGTGGAAATCATGAAGACATTTCTCCCCTAATGCTCTGGGCAAGAATGACGGCTGTAAAATTGAGGCACAAGGCCGGTAGTCAGATGATCTTGGGCCAAATCCAACTCTGATGGAACTTCATGAACTTCAGGGAGTTTATATGAAGGGTGGATTTGGCCCTGGTTTCTATTCTAACTCTGCTTCCAATCTCCTGTGGGACTTCAGGCAAGTGGATTTGTCTCTCCTCAGGTCAGTTTGGTCAGCTGCAAAATAGAGATTATGATCCCTTTGTTTGTAACTTTCTGTGAGATCCTCCAAGGGAAGGGTCTGTACTTTAGAAGTACAAAGTACGTCTTCCCAATACTTGGTTCTAGGAGACCTCATCTCCTGCTCTAAAGTACCATGTGTCCATTTTGGCATTTGCATTAAGCAGAATATCCTTTTACTGCTCAGCAGTATGATCATCCCAGAAGGACACATCACAGTGATGTCGAAGTGAAGCTAATACGTTTGCCATTCTTATATACAGAGAAAGTAATAAAAGAGAGAAAGACGTCCCTCCAAGATCAGCAAGAACTTGAAAAGAAGAAGAAGAAGTACTTGGATTTTCTGGACATTCTTCTGTGTGCCAAGGTGAGTGTTTTAAATCATGTAAACAGCCTCGCGACACCCGTGTGTCCATATGTAATATTAGCAGACACCTGGCTATAGTTGACAACAGCTTCCCCATTGTATATATCCTCCCGTATAATTCTGTCAGCTTACAGTGCTGTAAATGAAGAAATGTCAAGGGAGGGTGTGCAAAGGACAGTGTTCAGGGGTGAATAAGTGCAAGGAATAACAGTAATTTCTATTAGTTGATTTCACTCAGCAAGTTAACATGTACTAGAACAGAAGTACAACAGCATGTAAGTGTGAATGAGACCTGTGACATATCCCAGGGACGCCTGCAGGCACGAGCTGTTCTCTATATGTAGCAAGATAAATGTTCCCATTTGGGTTTCCTGTGCTCTGTGTCTTTACTAGTTGCCTGCTGGGCTGCAGGACACAGCTGCCATTTGGAGCTCAGTTCAGTGCAGACTCCCACAGTGGAAAGAGACTCACACACTGTGCTCTCACGCTCCCGCCCATCCCAGAGTTTCTTCTTTTGTTCTTTCTTGTATTGTTTGTTCTTTGTCTTTTAATCTTAAAAAAACGATCCTGGCTGAATGTGCAAAGCCTGACCCAGCACCAGAGTCCTTGTGCGGTGTGGGCAGAGCAGGGCAGCTGGCACAGATGCACAGAAAGGCAGGGCTGGCAGGGACTGCAGGCCACTCAAGCTTTTCAGCAGCACGGGAGGTATGTACAGTTGTGCGGCACCTGAGCAGGCCATATACAGAAACCCAGCGACGTCAGCAGGAGCTCCAGCACCGTACATACAAGGCCAATCTGCACAGAGGAGCCATATTCTACAGCTGTTCTATAGCTCATGCAGCATTTCCCTGTAGCTGCTTCGGTGTGTGAATACTCACTCCCCCCTAGCTGCACCTGCAGCAGCCGCAAACCAGCAGTTACACTGCTTCACTGGGGAGCTGAGGGGAATGGGGGGAGCCTGAAATGCAAAGAGGCACCCTGGTAATACCTATCACCCCTCCAGACAGAGCCCTTTCCTGACCTCAGCCCCTAAGTGCAGCTCCTAACACAGAGTCCCATCCCTGTCTCCTGCTGCACAGGCCCTGCGCTGGGAGAGCAGGTGTCTGGCAGGGGAGCCAGGGTTCACAGAGTATAGCTTTTTGCTCCTATCCTGGCTCCTGTCCTTCAGCACAGCACAGTTTGCTGGCCCTGAGAGGCCACCTGACCATGGCCGTGAGGTGAAGGCTTCCGAACTCTTATGTCGTGAGGATCCTCACTGACCCCTGCAGGTCCCGAGCACCCCAAGCCCTACAAAATACTGTTCCGGAGGAAGATGGAGGCTCGCAGAGCACATGACTCTCTGAAGAGGGGAGGGGCTCAGCAAAAATGAGTGACCTAGCCATCCCTGACAGGTGTTTATTCCGCCTGTTCTTAAACACCTCCAGCCACGGGGTCTCCACAACCTCCCCGGGAAGCCTGTTCCAGCGCTTCACTCCCCTCAGAGTCTCTTCGCCAGTGGTCCAGGTATATTTTTTCTCTACAAAAGAGTCCTCCTGAAACTAACTTATTTGGGGATTATTTATCTCGCTGCTTTGCTAGGATGAAAACGGCGCTGGACTGTCCGACGAAGACCTACGCGCCGAGGTGGACACGTTCATGTTTGAGGGGCACGATACCACGGCCAGTGGGATCTCCTGGCTCTTGTACTGCATGGCCCTGCACCCAGAGCACCAGCAGAGATGCAGAGAAGAGATCCAGGAGATCGTGGGAGACAGAGATACTGTGCAATGGTGAGATGTCACCTCGTTGATTTGTTTCCAGTTGGCTTTGAATGATTATCTTAGGTATTCAGTTTGAGGAACTAAAAGTGGATCTTATTTCACAAGCTCAGCACCAAAGGATCAGTATTTAGAATCATAGAAACCCAAAGTTGGAAGAGACCTCAGGAGGTCATCAAACCCAACCTCCTGCCCAATTTAGGACCAACCCCAACTACATCACCCCAGCCAGGGCTTTGTGAAGATAAGACTTAATGACCTCTAGGGATGGAGATTCCACCACCTCCCTAGGGAACCCATCCCAGTGCTTCCCCACCCTCCTAGGGAAATAGTTTTTCCTAATACCCAACCTAGAACTTCCCCACTGCAACTTGAGACCATTGCTCCTCATTCTGCCATCTGTCACCACTGAGAACAGCCTCTCTGCCAAGCCCGTTATTTCAAAATAATGGGCTGGATATTTTGAAATAATAACTTCAGTTTTTCACGAGGAATAATATTTTGAAATGGCAGTAGTGGGGATGCTCTGCTGCTTCTATTTCAAAATAACTATTCCCCAGAGACGTTCAGAATAATTCCTCCCCAGCGCTTCCTGGTCTCTAAGTCGAGGTAGCACATCCACATTAAGGGAGCCTGCCTTGGACGAAATTTGAGGCTTCCCCATAGTGTGGACGTGTTATTTCAAACAGTTAATTTGGGAGTTACAATTTTGAAATAATAACAGGTTGTCACCCACATTTTCTTCCCCAACTAATTCCTCCCTGTTGGGCTACATCTAGACGGCAGAGTTTTGTGCAAAACCAGCTGTTTTTGCGCAAAAACTCACAGAGTGTCCACACCTCAAGCACGTTTTTGTGCAAGAAAATCAACAGAACGGAGAGGTCTTTGCACAAGAATTATTCCTCTTTCCACAAGGAATAACTCCTTTTTGCACCGGAGTTCTTGTGTAAAAAGGTGTGCGTGGACGGGGAACTGCCTCTTTTTGCACAAAAAAACGCTATCGAAAAAAGCATAGGTGCCCTGTTGGCCATTCTGTGAATAGCAATCAGCGCTTTTTTTCGAGAAAGCATCCATGCAGTCTTGATGCTCTCTTGCGCAAAAGCACATTACTTTTTTGATACTGTCAGCCGATGGGCAGGGTAGTGTGTGTGTGTGTGTTACACCCGAGTCTTCAACTGCTGGGACACAAGGTCCCGTCGCAGCGGGCGGCCTTAGGGAAGACCGATGGGAGCCCCTAGAAGTTTAACATCCATGTCTTTGACCGCTAGGATCAGGATCCCTTTGCTTCGGGCAGCCAACAGGCTGACAGATGCCCCAGAGTTTACAGGGAGAGCTTATTACATCTCAGACTTTGACTGCTAGGATACAGGATCCCTTCACAGTGGGCAGCCTAGGAAAGGCTGAGAGATGCCCCTACGGATCTGTCCTCTGGAAGCGACACGATCCAGAAGCCCAGCTCTGCTTGTATCTGTCCATTATGACAGGCTGGAGTTCTTTTAAATAGTGCTTGGTTCTGTTACAGCAACTGAAGGAGTCAGGTTAAAGCTTAAACATTTACAGGTTTATTAAAGAAGCTTATAAATCATATGATTACAATGGCTATTGCTCTATTTCTTAACTGCTAGCAAATATAGATCTTAAAAATGGTTACAAAGAAAATAAAGATAGAAAATAGCAATAATGGTACCAACTGACAGTTTAATCTTTAAAGAGCTCTAAGTCTATGTGTACACTTAAGACAAAGGACCACATCCAGGTACAATTTTTCCCCCCTTCTGTGCCTCTCGACTCCAGTGTATCAGGCCAGGGCCGGTCCCTCAATTCCTAGGAAAGACGAATACAAGGTGGGCGTCCCCATGGAACCTTGGGAGGCCAAGCACCTAAGCCGACCAGCAGATAGATGGTAGATTGACACTCAGCGTAAGTGTGCTGCTGGACCCATCTTTATACCCATAGGGGCCTGTATCCTCTTTCTTATCTAAGATGCCAAATTGTGTTGGTTCGTCTTTGTGACGCCAGTTCTTACAAGGAAGTTTCAACTTAATTTACACTTGCAAGAGAGATAACTAAATTGTGAATACTGGACATTCTTTACTGGGTGGTAGATTTCTCCCCCCGTGGACGGCTGTGTGTTTGTATCAATATAGATGCCAGCCAAGGCAGTTCTCACAGCCTCGAGGTCAACAATTGGCGGATCTCTTGTTTACAGCCATCCAGGGTCACAGCAGCCAGCATATCTGGGCCTTCTGTCAAGGCTTCAAAGACTATGCTGATTTTAGTGCTCTGTCTATGCCCTGTATGCTTCCAGGCAAGCAAAAAATGGATGTTATATATGGGGGTTCCTGTCTGGCTACAGACATGCTTTTGAAGTGTGGACGCTCTCTTGTGTAAAAAGTTTTTGCAGAAGATCTCTTCCGCAAAAAGCTCCTTGCGCAAGAACCCTGTAGTGTAGACATAGCCTTTCTGAGCAGCAGGTCAAGCTGCGCATGGCCTCAGTTGGTTCCTTCAGCCCTTGTACCAGGAAGTTATCCCCAACATTCTCCAAAAACTTCCTGAATTGTCTGTGTACTGCTATATTGGTCTCCCAATTGATGTCAGGGTGATTGAAGTCCCCAAGGAGAACCAGGACCTGTGAACTGGAAGCTTCTGTTAGTTGGCTGAAGAAAGCCTCGTTTACTTCATCCACCTGATCTGGTCTATAGCAGACACTCACCATGACATCACCTTTATGGGTCCTGCCTCTAAACTTAACCAAAAGATTCTCAACAGGATTTTCTCCCGCTTTATACGAGAGTGGTGAGCAATCATACTGCTCTCCTATATACAGTGCAACTCCTCCACCTTTCTTGCCCCGCTTTTCCTTCCTGAACAGTTTATACCCTTCCATGACAGTGCTCCAATCATATGAGTTGTTCCACCAACAATCTCCATTATTCCAGTCAAATCCAGTCAAATCCCAGGACTTCTAATTTTTCCTGCTTGTTTCCCAGACTTCTTACATTCGTGTTCAACTAACTAGCTGATGGCCTTACTTTCTCAGTACAAATTGGGGGTCCTCTATTGCATTTTCCTTCTTGTGTTTATTCCCAGTATCCCACTTCCCCACTTACCTCTGGTCTTAGGTCTCTGTTCTCTATAGCACAGCCATGGCACGAAGGACAGCTCCAAAGCCGGATCCAAGCTTCCCTTGTGCTAAGGGCTGTTCAATTCCAGATCTTAGGTTTTTCTCAGTTAATAAAATACAGGTGTTTGATTGGGAAAGGAACAGTACATGATTGAGGATGAGGGAGTTCCTCTCAGCTCCACTAACCCTGCAATCAGCCCTTGGAGACTGCAACTTTAGGAATAAGACAGATCTGCTAGATTTTCTTGCTAAATTAAATCCCAAATATTAAGATTTTGCATTTCTATAAACGACTGCATGCAAGGATGTCAAAGTATCTTGTAATTAAAATATTAAGCCTTACCACCCCCTCTGAAGCACAGAGATATTTCATGACCCAGCATCCCATTGCGCTAGGCACTGTACAAACATGGGACAAAAAGTCAGTCCCTGCCTCCAAAAGGTTACAGCTAGGGACACCGAAGCCCTGTCGGATCAAGAGAGTTGCTCAGTGTGCTGCAGGAAGTCTGTGGCAGAGGTGGGAATAGAGCCCACGTCACTTCTATACTTTAGCCCCAAAATCGCTTTTTACAGATGTTGATACGGCCAGCTCGTATCCCGGTAGTAGCAGGGGCTGCTCCTCATTCATAGTCTCCACCCTTGGTTGCTTTCAGGGATGACCTTGGCAAAATGACTTACAGCACCATGTGCATCAAGGAAAGCCTTCGCCTGTACCCTCCGGTACCTGGAGTGGCCCGAGAGCTCAGCAAGCCCATCACGTTCCACGATGGACGTACCTTGCCAGAAGGTCTGTGTTGTCTCTTCCTTGTTACGGCCCAATTCTAACTTTCTCCTCACATATGTCACTTCTGTGGAAGTCCCAACGTCCCCCCAAATGTGGGTCACGCCAATGAAAGGGGAAAGGTTCTCCTGTGAAATCCAAGGACAGAGCTACAAGAGGCTGAGTGGCTTGCGGGGCTCCCATGGCCTCAGCTGATTCCACTGGAAATTGTAACATGGCTCTTGGGTTGTCCAGGGAGACTGACATTGCCAACTGCACGTGTCTGTACCGCCCTGCCTCACTGAGCCCAGGGTTCATTCCCCCTCAGGGACACCCTGCTTCACTGAGCCCTGGGTTCATTCCCCCTCAGGAGAGTAGCTGGGACGGCTGCCTGCTCTACCTCAGAGACTGTGCTAGGAAACAGCCGTGTCGGTCTCCTCCTGACCCTCCAGAGTCCTCCCAGCTAAGTCTGTCTGGGATGCTTTGACTCTCGACTCCTTTGAGACCTGGCTGAATGTTCTTCTTAGTAGCTGACAACTTCAAATCAGCCTATGGGATTTGGGGATGTGACATCCTGATTAATTAGTTAATTGGTTAAACATTAGGTTACCTAACAGTTAACTGGTTAACTGACTAAGCAGGATCCTGGGCGGGGCTGCCACCGGCTCCCAACCCCAGAGCTGAGACTGGGGCCGATGCCAATTCTCGGCCACGGCTCTGAGGGATTAGGTGCCCAAATCTCACTGAAGTTGAAATGGCATTTGGGTGCCCAATTCCCTTTAACAATAACAGATGATGTTTTTACTGTTTATTATTTGTATTATGAAGACACACAGAAACACAACCCAAGAAGGAAGTCCTATTTGCTAGGCACTATTGCATGCACATGAGACATTACGGCTACATCTAGATTGGCATGATTTTCCGCAAATGCTTTTAACGGAAAAGTTTTCCGTTAAAACCATTTTCGGAAAAGAGCGTCTAGATTGGCACAGACGCTTTTCCGCAAAAGCACTTTTACGGAAAAGCGTCCCTGACCAATCTAGACGCGCTTTTGCACAAAAAAGCCCCGATTGCCATTTTCGTGATCAGGGCTTTTTTGCGCAAAACAAATCTCAGCTGTATACACTGGCCCTTTTGTGCAAAAGTTTTGCGCAAAAGGACTTTTGCCTGAATGGGAGCAGAATAGTATTTCCGCAAATAGGATAGTATTTCTTACAGTAGGAAGTCAGTGCTTTTGCGGAAATTCAAGAGGCCAGTGTAGACAGCTGGCAAGTTTTTCCAGAAAAGCGGCTGATTTTCTGGAAAAACTGGCCAGTCTAGACACAGCCTACACGTATATAGTAAGAGACAGTCTCTGGCCAGAAGAGCCTACAATTTACCTTTAAGAGAGAGAGAGAGAGATTCAAAATGTGCAACTAATATTATTTGCTTTGAGCTATTCCCCCAGCTCTCGCCCTCAGCTTTGTTAGCTTGTGAGGTTGGACAAGTTCACATCACCAGAAAGCGTGGTTGTATATTATAGCACTGAACCAGAATGGGTTCGTTGACTCAATAAAGGCAGAAGACTTTATGGGAACAGCACTTCGAGCGCTCGATCCAAAGTCTTTCTAAGTCAGAGGAAGGACTCCCTTTGACTCAACGCAGTTTGGAGAGGCCCATGAGATTTACAAACTGCAAATTATCAACGCAGTCTGCTGTTACTTTGGGAAGGATGGGGGACTGTGGGCGCTGTAGACGCTAAACAAACCTTTGCTGTAAATGGCCCATTTTGGACATATGGGTAAATTTCAGCCTGCACTTCCTGGCATTGGGTTCTGCCTGCCTTGTCTTGATCTACCAAATTCTCCAGCTGCTTCTCCTCTCTCCACTGGGTTTGATTCCACCCGTTGCAAAATGCTACATGAAAGGAAACCGAAGCATCCAACCGTTGCAAAGCAAACAGAGCTTGGCATTTAATGCCAGCCTGCAGTGTCCATGGCCTGTGCATGCTGCCGTGTCCCATGTATACACATTGCAATGCCAGTTCTAGCATCCAGGCCTGTGTCTCCCCTTCCCACCATGATGTGGCTTAGGGGAGAAGCACAAAACAGCCACCAGAGACTCAAGCAGCCAAAGCAGGGTCTTTTGCACAGTCCGGTCAAAGTTCCCTGCCTTTCCCTGCAATGTGCTAATCTGGGGTTCGCTGCCTGACCCCTCCCAGCTCTGCTATGTGACCAGTTCCTTCCAAACGAACCCTTCCCAGCAAATCAATCGATTGATAAAATCATGGCACTGATACGTTTGTTTGCTGCCATCCTATTGTGGGTTCTACCTCTTCCCTCCACCCTGCGTCTGTCTTATCTTTGGTCTGTGAGCATGCAGAGGTGTTGCCCTTTCCTGGCGTTACTAATTCATGCACTAAACCCCAGGGGTGGCCAACCCACAGCTCACGAGCTGCATATGGCTCTTCACCCCTGAAAGTACAGCTCATGAAGCCTCCCCCGTAGCTCGCAAAGCTGCCCCGTGCACCCCTACAAAGGGCCTCCGGCCCCTTGTGCTCACAAGGTGCAGGGGAACCATCCGGCATGGCAAAACGGTGTTGGCAAGATGGCATTGGCCAGCGGTTTTTAAAGGGGAAGCATTTTTTTTTTTTGCTCAACAATTCTGGTGTGGCTCTTTGCATTTTTTCCTCAGTTGTTTCAGCTCTCTTCGTTCAATGGGTTGGCCACCCCTGCACTAAACACACTACAGAGAAGTTATCTTTGCCTTAATAATTATGCTAGTGAAGTAGTCACCTGCAGAAGATCAGTTACTTGGCTTCCACACGCCCAGTTCTTCTGGGTTCAAAGTACAGACGGCAGGTCTGTCATTCTTCCCTGGTCGGCGGGTACATAAATTGCCTGGGAAGTTTGGGGAATCTTGCTCGGTTTTTTTTATCATTTCTTGCTTCTCATGCAAAGTCAATTGCCACAGTTGATAATCTACTCCTGGGCTCGGCTAGGTTGCATCAGCCTGCGAGCACCTTCAAAGCAATGACGACTCAGGACGTTTCTCAGGCAGCAGGTGCGCTGGTTAAGAAAACTAAGGCCCTTTAACAGGATCTCTTGTTGTGCTGGACAAATGTTTCCCCTGTCAGCTCACCAAAGTTTTTCTCATTTTTCTTCCAGGTTCTCTGGTGGTCGTGCACATTTATACTCTTCATAGGAACCCAAGAGTATGGGAAGATCCAGAGGTACTTTTCATATTACACAATGACGAGGTGACCATGTAATTGAGACAAAGAACTGAGTAGCAAGAGAGATGGGAGCCTACCTCATATTTCCATGAGCAAGGCATTGCTTGCTTCTCCCTTTCTCCATTTCCTGCTGTTCTCCTTACTTTGCTTAAGAGTCTTTGGTGAAGGACCTTGTCAAAGTCTTTCTGAAACTCTAAATACACTATCGATTGATTCACCCTTGTCCATGTTTGACACCCCTCCCCGAAATAATTCTAATAGATTGGTGAGACATGACTTCCTGTTAGAACAGCCATTTTCATGCTTCCCCCAACAAATTGTGTTTGTGTCTGATAATTCTGTCATTTTACTATTGTTTTAACCACTTTGCCTGATACTTTAGGCTTAGTGGCCTGTAATTGCTAGGATCACCACTGGAGACTTTTTAAAATATTGGTGTCTCATTAGCTATCCTCCAGTCATCTGGAACAGAAGCTGATTTTAAAGGATAGGTTACATACCACAGTTAGTAGTTCTGCAATTTTATGTTTGAGTTCCATCAGAACTCTTGTGATTGGGGAGTGCCGGCCCTTTGTGGGAGGGGAGGTTACCGTCCCTTTACACTATTGCTGTCCTAGAAGAGGTTCCACTAGGGATGTTGCTGTGTCTTGGCGGGATGCGCCTGGGCTTGCTGGTTAATCTTGTCGACTACCAGCACTCTCAGAGGAGGAGGGAGGGGGGAAGAGCTGGAGCCGGTGACTGTGAAGAGCTAGCTTAAAAGCTGGCTCCAGATCCACCTACCCCACCCCTGTGCTGTGGCCTCTGATAGAGAGGCAGCAGCATGAAGGGAGAGAGGCGCAGGTGGGAGCTGGTACATGTGGGGAGCTGGCTTTCAAGGAGACACCCCACACATGCTGGCTCCAGGGCAGCAGCCCCTGTCCATGGAGGGTCTCTGGACAAGGGCTACTGCCACCCCACGCTGCTGCCTCCAATACAGAGGCAGCAATGTGGGGTGGCAGGGGTCTCCCCAGGAGTGGGGCTGGGAACACACTTGCAGCCAGCCCCCACCCCAGGGGACTATCGAATTGCCATTCAACTCCTAAAATGTCTAGTGGTTACCTGACTATTCAATTGCTCAATAGCTAACATCCCTAGTTTCCACGTCAGCGCCTTTACATTGGGGCTACAGCAACAGAAACCCCTCTAGCACTGGGCTAGAACTGACCTCACTTAACCTCTGAAATCGCACCCTGCGCCTAAGCTGAGGGGGGCGGCCTGTGTCCGAATGCACCATGTCTGGGTGTGAAAGGTTGCAGGTGTAGAGCCGAGCAATGTTGTACTTTGGAACAAAAAAAACCTTTGCCACCGACCTCTGAACTCTCTCCCTGCAGGTCTTTGATCCCATGCGGTTTTCCCCAGAGAACGCGGCCCGGAGGCATTCCCATGCGTTTGTGCCCTTCGCGGCTGGAGCACGGTGGGGGATGTTTCTTTCTCTCTCTTGGGGGTGTCGGTTGGAAACAAAGCCAGGCTTTGGGCCAGGCTGCTCCTAATGCCCACTGAGCACTAACAGGCTGGCGCTGCAGGGTTGTGTCTGTCACGTGAGGGAGGTGTGGGGGGGTTCCCTAGAGCAATGCACCGAACCAGAGTTTGGTTCTTAGTGACTGGCCCCTCTGGCCTCTCCTGTGTCTGCTTCACGATGCCCACAGAGCTGCCCTGGCTCCCATTTGGCAGGCCAAGGTCGTTTGGCAGAAGTACGGTGTGATGATGGTGAACGGCGCGCTCTGGGGGCTCTGAGTGAATCCCTCAGCTCTCAGGCCTCTCCTGGCTGGACCCTGCAATTCTCCCACTCACAGACCAGGCCCGGCGGGACCCAACAGGCCCAGCCGAGGTCAGACCCCTGCAGTTCTTCCCTTCAGGGCTCTGTGGGCAGCCAGGCTGCTTACAGCCAAAGGCCTGGTTATTGCACAGCAGGGAGGAAGCACTTAGCAAGGGAAGATTTCAAACCTCCAAAGAGCCGACAGGCACGGCTATCCCACCCCTAGGCTGACCATCCCCTGATGGGAATCCAGGCAGGCCTCAGTTTTTCTGTCACCCACACAGGTCTCTGTGTCTCTGTCTGAGTCTCCCAAGCAATTACCCCCACTCTCAGAAGAGTGTGCCTGTTTAAACATAGCACTGTGCTCTTCATCCCCGGTGTTCAGGGGCCTTTTCCTCCCCTGGCATTGTCCCTTAACACAAGCGTTTTGACTTGTTTTGAGTCACAACATCACCTTTATGCTTTGATTTCCCCTCTGCCCCATATTAAAATGAACCCAAAATATTTGCACTGTGAGCATCCCCATAAACCAATCGTCACCCTTAGTTATTACAGAGGAGCTGCAGATACATCACTCATGGGACTCTCCATCGCACGGAGAGAGAGGTATTCCATGAACGTGTGGCAGTTAATGACACTGAAAGCCAATGGGAATTAGGTGCCTAATTGCCATTTGTGCATTTGGAAAATTTCTCCTGCAGTCAGCTAATATCTCTTGGCACTAGCGTGCGGGAAAAACGGTATCAGTGTTCTTGCGGGTTCA